CTAAAATTATGAATTGTTACGTTTAAAGTTTTAGGAGAAATCAAAATGTTCACAATGTTTTTCAAAATTTACATAAAAGTTTAAAATTTTTACCTTTTAATGAATTGGTTCGTAAAATTTATATAATGTTTGACATTAAAAAATAAAAACCTAAATTGATACACTCAATATTTTTGATTGTTTTAAAGAAATTTTAGCTAACGTTTTAAGCTTTTTTTTAATTATTTATTAAATGTAAAAATAATGATTGCACGTGAATTATTTCTTTTGTTTTATTTCGTAATCTTTTCCTAACTTAAGAAAAATTTGTATATACATAAAATATTTATATGAATCAAATACACAAGGAATTAAAAATACAGATAAATTGAAAAAATGTGACATGATATTGTTAAAATTACATTTTAATAGAAGATAGAAACCAAAAATTAATGATATAAATAAATATACTTAATAACAGAACGAAAACTGAGGGGATCTAAGAATCAAGAAGAAACATGACAGTTATATCGATATTTTGTATCCTTGTACAAAACGGTACATTGATATTTATATACATATATGATTATATATAGACTTATTTTTAATTTTTTATTATTTATTTAAGCTTATTAATTCTTCAATGAAAAGGAGATTGAATAAACAAATAATAAAAGAAAAACTTTGTTTGTTATATTTTTCAATGTGAAGAGAAGGATTAATGACATTGAAAATCTGAAGAATATAATTGGAATTTTATACATATATAATATAATTGTATATTATGTATAGAATATAAATATTATTTTTACTTATCTAAACACAAATTGTAAAAAGTCATGTGACAACCTTGAACTTGAATCATTTTTTTTTCTGATTCAAAATACATAAATATTATTGTTTGAATTCTATTTAATTAACTAATTGTCAATTATGGTCTTTTAATATTGTGTGCATTAAATCTTTGTTACTAAAAGATTTTCCACAAAAAAAAAATCGATTTTAATATAAAAAAAAATTAGAATAATAATTTGGCGTCAATATTATCAAATGATTATAAGATTGTGGCACCTCAAGCTTGAACATTAAGCTTACATTAGAATAACGAATGAATAGGTATTTACAAAAAGAATGTTAATAAAAAAAGTCAATTAAGTATTGAAAGTATTTCCACTAAAATTTAATTTATGATCTTCAGTAAAGTCTTAATTAAATTGGTATTGTAAGAAATTAAGTCTAAATATAAACAATTTTATACTGCCATCAGTCATCATCATGGTCAAATATTAGTCAATGATCAAAATGTTTTGATTATTTCACGTTTATGGTTATGCCAATTTCAGAACGAAAATATAAATTATTTATTTATTTATAGATAATAATTTTAATTTTGTAAACTCACCTTTTTGGGTTTCCTTGAAAATTTATGACTAAAATTTATCCTTTAGAGTGATTTTTTTTCCTTACAATTTCTTCAAAAATATTTTAATAAACACAAGTTCTTTAAAAGTCTTTAACTTAATCAAACAAAGAAAAATTAAAAAGGTAAAAAAAATTTTTCTTTTAAAGTGTTTTTCCGGAGACGATTGAGAAACTTGTTTGCGTTCAATTTATTAGCATTGATTTTTTTTCTCCCTCTGTCTTTTCTGTTGTTGATTTTTTTTATTATTCTTTTCAATCGATGTTGGAAAACAATCGCCAAATATAATTTTTTTGATGCCAAAGAAAAGAAAATAAATAACAGAAAAAATAAAAAATAAAAATCAAAAAAGAAAAACTTGAATTTTGGATCCTCTCTAAAGATTTAACGCACTATATAAAAGTTTTTGAAACCAAAAAATATAGGCGGAGGGAGAAATTAAATTTTGATCTAAAACGAAAAAAAAGAAAGAGAAAAATTATAAAAATTATAAATAAAATTTAATAATTATTAAAAAAGAATTTATTTAGTATATTTTTTTTTTCAATTAAAAACAAAAACACTTTTTTCTTTTTTGGATTTTATGTAATTTATCATGGTTCATGTTTAAAAAATGCAATCAATAGGAACATAAAAAAAATATAATAACAATTCCAAATACAGGCACCAACAGCGATATGCGTGACTAAATTCTATTAAAAAATTCGTTACTATTTTATTACTATTATGAAATTTATGGGCAAATTAAACTTTTAATTTTAATTTTATTTGATTTTTCGCTGCATAAATTTAATGAAAGTTTAGAATTTTATTATTTTCATAATGGATCAACATTATAGTGTTCATGTACTAGTGATAATGCAATGAAATATTCTTTATTGTGAATGACTTGTTTTTTTTTCCAAATTAATCAAATATGTTGATTATTTAATCAATTTTTTGTTTTTAAAATTAATTTTTGATAATAAGAGGAAGATTTTGTTTATAAAAAATTATTGAAAGTTTGCATTTTTTATATGAAAGTGTTTTTTGATAACCAAACCATATAAATAAATTGACTAGGTTGGACCGAAATGAATTTTAATCTTCTCAAATAAAATAGTAATAGGTAAATATTTTCTTAGTTATCAGTGTGAAGAAAATAATAAATATTTTTTTTTTTAAATGGATGTTTATATTATTTAACCAAAATGATAAATATTAATAAGTCCAGAAAAATTAATTACATATTTAATTTTTTTAGCCGACCATTAATTGCTCCCGCTACTCAGCTATTAAAGTTTACGCATTTTTTAAATTAGATACTTTTGTTAATTAATTATCATAATACATGCATATATGTAGGTACCTACCCATAAAATTCTAATTAAATGCTGCAAAATTATTTTATGAAATTATATTTTTAAATTTAAACCGCATGAAATGCGATAACACAAGCTGTATAAGTAACATAATTAAAAATTGAGTAGGACTATTATTTGACAAAATAAACGCCAAAAGTCGAACATAAATAACATGGTTTTGAAAAAAAATATTTAAATTTAAAATTGATTTGAGATATAAAATTTTATATGGTAGGTACATATTTTTAGTCATAAGTTAGTATAAGTCATAAGGCAACTTATTAGAAAACCAAATTTCAAATAAAAAACCAATGTTCACATATTGCTTTTTCACTAAGTATCTACCTAAGTACTTAGAACTTATATTGTTATAATGACAGTATTTTATCTACATACGTTTTTCAATAGTTTTTATAGATTTTGCATCCCTCTTTATACACTTTTCGTAAGTTACAATTATGAATTTAATTACAAATTCAAGATTTATAAAAAAATTATATAAATTCATTCAAGTAAAATATTTGTAAGTATATACATATATGTATATATCTGTATTATAGTAAAACAGGAGGGTTAAATAATTCAAACAGGAAATTTGAAATCAAAATACTTAATTATGAAACTTTTTATTAAAATTACGTTATATGTACATATGTACATACACATACATATATGCAAAAATTTGATGCAATAACAATTAGTCAAACTCTTCTTAAAACATTAAAAGTGCCGTGTAGGTATATAGAATACAAAATTTAATTTATTAGTAAATGATTTAAATTTATCTAGTATTTCTTTTTTATTTTGTTTCTGTATTCCATATTTTAAAATTTTGATATTTCTTTATGACTGTGACAACATATCGAAAGGGAAAATCAATATTTTCATAGGATAGGATATTTTGCATAAAAATAATTATGAAATAGTAATTTTGAAATAAATATCATTTATTTAATTCCTCCATTTGTTCGAAAAATAATTTACTTGGAATATACAATAATTGTCAAGAACTTGTGCATTTGTATATTAGTTACTCTTCAATATTAATTTTTAAATCATTTACGTTTGTTTTATATTATTATGTATTTTGATTAAAATTAATATATAACTACTTAAATACACATTAGGTCCATTAAAGTTGGTATATAAATATGTATATGTATTAATTTTGGTTTTAAAAGAAAAAATCAATTAAAATTTTCATAACCTCGCTTTTTCGTTAAAAATTTAAGGTTGTAAAGGACAATTGAAAAGTAGGCCATTATACAAAATTATTCTCAAAATTCACATTTAATGTTTAAAAAAATCAAAAACATTTTTAATTAATTTTTTTTTTATTTGAATAGACACCTTGTTTTATACCGATTGTGACACATTTTTTTATTTCTGAAGCGAAATTAATTTTTTTTCTTATAACCACCTTTCAGACATTTTTTTATGCACAAATGATAAAAGGGTTATACGTACAAATGATCGTTTTCTAAGAACAAAAATATTATTCTTGTCTATACAAACCTTTTGGGGTTACATATCCTGTTTCAATAAAAGGAATTTCTTAAATTTAATTTTAATTATAGAATTAATTTTTAATATAAAATTTTCTCAAATTTCCTCACTTTTTCGCGAATACTTTTTACGACATATGAAAACACGACGACGACTGAATGACATATAAAATTGCAAAAGTGAAGGTGTTGAATGTCAAATTAATTGTGTAGTAAAACAACTGCCTTTAATAATGTAGTTACGATGTTAAATTAATTTGTTAGAATATATTTTTGTTTCCATCGTTGCTCGGTTTAAAAATATTAAAATAATATTATGATATTTATAATCTAATTAATTATTGCTATTTCTCAGTTATTATTTTAACATTTTAAATCCGCTTTTCACAATTTTGATATATATTAAACTGTTGTAGTGTTATTAGATTCCGGTTGAGTTTTACATAAACAGCACAATTTTTAAGATTTGACACACTATTTTGTCATTTGAAATGCTAGTGCTACCGGTTTGTAATTGTTTTATATTGTTTTTATCCCAACAGTTTTTAGCTTTTGCATTGTTAGTCAGGGGTATTACTATTAAATTATTATTATTACTTTTGAAATATGAAAAGTATATTTATCACAATAATTATTTATTTATTTTGGAAAATTTGAAGATTTAAATGCTGATGATGAAATGTAATGGATATAAATGAATTTTTGCTGGTCGTATACATATCAATTTTTAATATATAATACATACATATAGCTTTAATATTTGTTCAACATGAATAGAAGATCAAAATTTTTTTTACCATTGCCAAAATAAACAAATCCATGCTTTTTCGAATGTAATTTGTGAAAGAAAAACATTCCTGGCCAAACTAATGACTTAATCGACACAAAAGTTTCATCATGTGATAAATTGACAGCAAAAGCATTATTTTCTGGTACTATATCATCAATAGTATCTAAAAAATCGGTTGTTAAATTATAGTCACTTCTTTTTAATAAATTGTAATTGTATTCATTATGCGGATTTCTATAAAGTTGGTAGTTAATTAATTCTGTTGAATCTAGTTCATTTAATCCACGAAATTCTGGATTATAAATGACATTCATGTCTGTCAATTTATAGAGAGCTCCCCTTGGAATTAATGCGCTTTCTTCTGTGATTATATGAACTATCGAAGAAAGTCTATCTTCTTCTTTAAGTCTTATTGTTTGAGGTGGAGTTGCAAGAATTACTTGATTATCATCAATCGTAAATTCTGGGTCCTAAAAGTTTTTTTTGCATAACCACATTTTTTGAAAATATAAGAAACAAATAAAAAATTCAAAATACTTACCATGACGACATTTGCCATTGCTGTTGGATCTCCAATAAACATATCTGGACACAATATGCTTGCAGATATATTTTCTTTAACGGGTGAAGGAAGCATTATCCATCGAAAACCATTTACTGAATAAAAAAATTTTCGTTCAGCGAGACAATCTTTTGTATAGCCGTAAGCAATATAGTAATCATTCTCAATAGCGTTAATGCGACCCCAGAAAAAGATATTGTGAAATTTGTTATCATTTTGGAGTAGAATTAAAGAATTTTTAACAATTAATTCTTCTTCTGGAGAGAGTCTTATGCCACAACTGATGGCACTTTTCTCCATACCTTCTTTTAGGTAATTAATATTCATTTGAAAGTCTTTTTATTTTACAACAGAATTTTCATTTGGTAAAATGAAAATGTTTTATGTGTCAAAGCTTTTTAATTTTTAATATACTAACTTGATGATGTAAAATTTTTTTGTTTTATAAGAATTTTGATTTTATTTTACTGAGGTATAAAAGGTTTTGAGAATGAATGCTATGTTGCTTTTAGATACTTAGCCCTACGTACATAATGTTTGTAGATTGCACAAATTCAAAAAGGAAAGTAAACAAACTTGTAAACATTCGTGAATCAATAACAATTGATGAAAAAAGGTTTTGACATTTCTACTCTGCTTTCTGAACACTTTAATGAACAATTTAGCAATTGCTCAAACTGTCAAAAACGGATGTTTTTTTGAAAAGTCTCAATTTGAGCGGATAAAATTTTTTGCATTTTCCATTGAAATTAATTCAAAATTAAAAATTGATAATAGAAAATACGTGTTTGTAATACATATATTTTTTTCAGTTTTATAATGTCTGAAAACGTTGAAAATGATCGTGATGAATCAAAATCTTATAATCTTTTTGATCTTTTAAATGCAGGTATGTATGTATAGGAAGGGTCCTTAATTTTAAATTTATAAAATTTTCTATGTATACTTACATATGCATATGAAAAATGAAAAATTATTTATTTATAGAAAAAGAATTGGAAGAGGAAAGTGCAGCTGTGTTAGGTGGCTCTGATGATAAGTGCTGTACTTACAATACGGGTTACATCAAGAGACAAGCTCTATATTCATGCTTAACTTGTTGTCCAGAGGCTAAGGATGATCTAACTAAAGCAGCAGGCGTTTGTTTAGCATGCAGTTATAAATGTCATGAAAATCATGAACTAGTTGAACTGTACACAAAAAGGAATTTTAGGTGTGATTGTCCAACAATGAAAATTCCAGAGTTTAAGTGCTCATTTTTTAATGTAAATGAGAGCTCATCATCTAGTAGTGTCGAACATTCCAAAAAGGAGATAAATGTTGCAAATGAATACAACCAAAATTTTTCAGGAATTTATTGTACATGCAAGAGACCTTATCCAGATTCTGAAGATCCAATTTCTGATGAGATGATACAATGCATAATTTGCGAAGATTGGTATCATACCCGTCATCTAAAAAGTGAAATTATTCCAAAAACCAATGAATACTCCGAAATGATTTGTGAACATTGTGTTCAGGAGAAGGAATTTTTAAAAGATTATATTGGATTGGCTGTAAATAAAGTTACAAAATTCGAAAATGGTCATGATATAACTGAAAATGTAGCGATAGACGGTGAAAAATCTGATGAAAAAAAGAACGAACCATCTAAATCTGAAAATCATGACAAAACAGTAAGTAATGCAGAAGCTACAAAAGAATTGGAGGATGAAAATTATGAATCTCCGTGTAAAAAAAGAAAAGTTGAGGGACATGAAATTGATACATGCAAAAAACCATTTGATACTATGGCAAAATACAAAGAGGGTAAAATATATTGTTAATTTTATAAAAAAACACAAAAAAAAATTGAATGTTTTAGGTGCTATTTTTTGGCCAGAGGAATGGCGTAAACAGCTATGTTGCTGTGCATCTTGTAGAAAGATTTATTCTGAAAAAAAAGTTGAATTCTTGCTAGATCCTGAAGACACAATTGCTGTTTATGAAGAAAAAGGTTTGAAAAAATATCACGACACATATTATGATTGGGCTGCCAAATCTTTGTCAACTTTGGGACATGCACAAAAGATTGACTTGATCATGGGCTACAATCATTTAAAAGACAAATTGAAAGAATTTTTTGATGAATTTTCTAAAGAGAAAAAAGTCGTTACAGAAAGCGACGTAAAAGATTTTTTTAAAAAATTGAACACTGAGAAATTGCAAGGTTTAAGCAAAGATCAACAATACTTTTGTCGTTAATTTTAATTTTGAAATGTTTAACTGTATTTCTTGAAAAGCAGTATTAAATGTTTTTTTCTTTCTTTTCAATCTTTGAAAACAAAAAATTAGTAATTTACAAAATTTGAATTATGTACGTGGATTATTAATAAAAAAAACTGGAATATTTATGTTTATAATATCTTTGTGTTGAATACATATATGATTTCATCTGTAATAGAGTATAAATTTTGTACTGAAACGTCTCAAAATATTGGGAGCAGTTCCCTGCATTCTTTTCACTTATGATGTTGGTAGAGTTACGAAAATATGAACTAATTAGGAATTATATAAATTTTAAGAAAACATAAATTATCCTTGAAATTACTAACTGAAATTGACAACGAAGAACTTTAAAAGTTTCTCATTTATTGCTAAAACAAAATTAAAATTTCGAAATTAATTAAATTATTTTTTAAGCCATAATAGCAATTGTATGAAAGTAAAACTATGTATTGTGGGATACGCTTTATTTGTGTCTCATTGCCTTACTTATTGAAAACACGAATAAATTCTTAATTTCAAGGAATAATAAGTACGTACACTGGATTTTCTTTTATTCGCTTTATTTGCAATTACAATCAAATTCTTAAAAACAAAAAACAATTCAGGTTAAAAAAAAATTTACAAAATAAAGTTTTAATGTCTAAATAATTTTTAATTAGATATTCTAAATACATGTATACAAAAAAAAAAAAACAAAAAATGTAGTAAAAATTATAATTTTATGACAATTGTAATTCCTTTAGTTCAGCTGAATTCATTATTAATAATTGTTCACTATCCATATCTAAAAGGCTACTGACATTTGGTGGTTCTGTATCACCTCCATCAGCTAATTGAATTGATTGCGAATTTGTTGTATTATTGTTTGTGGTTGTTTGTTGAGTATTGTCATTATCGGGATGTATTATTGGAATAAAACTACCTCCATTATTATTATTTGTTTGAATAATATTCATATTCATTAGATTCGATTTCCATTTATGGTGATGATGCTGTTGTTGTTGCTGTTGTTGTTGTTGTTGATGATTAACATCATTTGTTAATAGATTTTCAACATGAAAATTATTTTGTTTTGTTATATTACTGAATGAGCCTTGTATATGATTTGGTGAATGCTGTGCATTATTTGTTTGACTTGTAATATTCCATGTTGATTGACCTTGTTGTTGTTGTTGCGCTTGGGATTGTGATTGCGGTGGCCCATTATATATTTGATTTGTTTGTGAATTTGTATTGAGATTACCAAATGGTGAATGTTGTTGTTGTTGATATGGTGAATATTCTGGTGTACTACCTTGACCATAACTATATGGACTAATATTACCACCACCAAATTGATGACCTGGTGATATACTATTGCCATTAGCACCTACAACACCAGCCAAACTATATGGTGACGGTACTTCTTGATATGGAGGAGACATTTGCGGTTGTGGCGATGGTGTTTGCTGTGGTGGTCTATATGTACCAAAACTTGTATATGGATTCGGTGATGAATCTGAATTCAAATAAAATATTTTGATTTAGATTTTTTTTTATATAATATGTATGTATTACAAAATATTGAAAAAAAAAATTTTACCTGTTGGTTCAGTTTTAATTGGTGTAGGATTTCCAATAAAACATTGATTTCCTGTTGAAAAAAAGAAAAACGTGATTACATTTAAAAAATAATTTTTGATGGATGAGTACATAATAAAAAAACTATTATCAAAAACGGATAGCTAATAAGCATAATTTTTTAAAATAGAAGTAAGAAAATTTATATACATATGGCTTTTGTTAATGTGGTGGTTAACTACAAAGTAATAAGCAGACGAAAATATAATTGTTAACAGGCATTATTAAAATTATTAGTAACTATTGCTTAAAGTAATAATAAGTATAAACTTATAAATCATAAATTAATTAATAAGTTCAAATTAAAAATAATATAAGTACATAATACAATAAAAAAGATTTTAATTAAAATAAAAATAATTTAACAAAACTAATGTTTAATTGCAGCTTAAATTTATGCATTTGATTTAAACTTAATCAAATTTCTAAATTATAAATTATTTAGAAAAAAAAAAAAACAATTGGCATAAAAAAATTTAAAACTATTCTTAACACAATTATATTTTAAAAATGTGTATTTAATATAAAAAAAAACATTAATTGAACACTAAAACATATAGAATTACATTTAAAATTCACCTTTTTATTATTCATTTATAAGATTCAATAATCATCAATCTGTTCAATATATAATTTTAATATTTAATTAAACTTAACTAAATATTTTCCATTTAAAAATTTTTTTTTTTCAAATCATGCGAACTTTGAAATAACTATTAGATCAAAGATTTTTTTTTTTAAATTTACCCTGATTATACAAAAGCAATTTGGTAATATATTAAAAAAGTTGTAATGCATAATTTTTCATGCGTTTCTTTTTGTTTTCCAACCCATTCTGTATGGCATGTCCTTTAGCTTCAAATTGTATATAAAAAGTTTTTAAAATTTTTTATTTTATAATTAAAACTACGTTTTATTGTACATTTTTAACTTATTTTTAATTTTTATTTCAAAATTCAATTTTCAAAAATATTTTTTTATATTTTCAATTTTGAAAATTTTTATTAAATTTTTTTTTTGTTTTTTGTTTCATATTATTTTTGATGTTATTAATATTTCTTACAGTGAATTATTTTTTAAATTTTATTTATAAATTTTTTTAGTAATAATTCAGGTAATTTTGTTATTTTCTTCTTAACAATTTTTCTTTCTTTTTTTTTACATTTTTTCAAAATTTAAATTTAGTTTTTATAATTTAATTAATTATAAAAAATTTATACAACGTTTAAACTTAATTTTTTTTTTTAATATTTCAAAAATATTTTATAAAACATATTTTTTTTTAAATAGGTACATTATAAGAGTATAACAACAATTTAATAAAAACATTTTTATTAAAAAACAATATCAAATGAGAAAACAAAAAAACAGTAAGAAAAATAACTTTTTTTTTTTTAAATTTAATTTCTAATACATAAATTAATGTTAAAATATTTTTAGCAATTTCTTAAAAATTAAAAAATATTATTGGGTATATAAATATTATTTTTATTTAATAAATTCATTTTGGTCAACAGCGAGTGAATACAGCGATATTTGAATCAGATTTTTGAATTATACAAGCCCATTTTATTAAAAGAGCCATCTGCTCTTTTAAATATAGAATAAATTTTTATAATTTATATTCTAGCTTCCTTGATTTTTCTTTTAAATTCTTTAAGTAATAGAGAATTTTAAAATAAATTTTTCGGGAAATTATGGAGAAGAAAATTGATTTTTTTTTTATAATTTAAAAATGATTTTTTGTCTTTAAATTAGGAATAACTTGTCTATTGTCTTAAATAATTAAAAATTAATTAATTTGAAACTTATTTAATTTCGGATTGTATTAGAATTCAATAATATTATTTTTATTTTTTATTTTTAGCAACTAAACACTGTAGTATTTGTTCAAATTGCAAAGTAAAATTAATTTTTGTTTAATACTAATAATATAAATTCAAGTTCTCAATTTAACTAACAAAATACTTTATTTATTTATTTATATTTAATATGCAAAATTTATTTATAAAAGATTAACAGAATCATAGAATTTTATTTAAAAATTTAACAATAATATAAAAAATTTTTCTTAGGTTTTATTAAAAAATTTTTCTACTTTTTATGTAAAAAAAAAGACAAAATCAATTTTTTTTTTTAAATCGAAAGTTGTTTAATTTTTTCGATTAATATTTTTTGATATTACTCTAATAAAAATAAAAAATTTCAATATTTAATCTTTTTTTATTTAAGAAATTTTAAAAGTTTTTTCATTATTTATTTTTTATTGCTAAATTTTTGAAAATAAATATTTGTAAAATCGTTTTATTATAAACGCCATTTTATAGTGCAAATATTATGAACTTTTCATTTTTGAATTTTACAATTATATACAATAAAAAATTCCTTGACAAAATTGCTGGGAAAAATTATTATTATTAGTTTAAATTTAACTTTTATTCTTAATGGCTTGGATTAAAAATTTTATGAATTAGGTAAATTTTTAACGGATAAGTAAAAAATATTTAAAGGCAGACTTCTATTTATTCCAAAATCAACTATAGTTAAATTTAATAATTTTAATGCTGGATTTAATTAATTGATTATAATATATAACATAAAAAATATCGTAGAATAAGTAAATTTCTTTTTTTTTTTTAATTATATTTTTTGAATTGTATGTTTTAATGTAAGTGTTTCTCTGTTTCTTATTGTATTCGTATGTATATAGAAATACACAGAAGCTAAAAATAATAATTTTTTGTTAAATAAGTTCATTTTATATAATATATTGCAAAATATTATACAATTACAAAAACGTTAAATATTTAAATTTTATGTTACTTTTGAATTTATTTAGTTTATTTTAATGTTCTTATATTTTATATTAATATTAATATAATTAAAAATGAATTTAACAATTTAAATATTAAAAAAATAGAATTATTATCAATTTATTTATAATATTATTTTTTTCTGCTATTTTATACTGTATGTTGTGCTCGATTCTATTTTAATTTTTATTTCATTCTTTCATTTTTTTGTGTTACCTTCACAATAATGTTTCTAAATATTTTTGTGAATATTTTAAATTTTTCGATTTAACAAATTTGATTATAATTATTATTTTATTTATTTAAATTAAGTAATTTAATGATATTCAAAAATATACGTATTTGTTTTTGTTTTAATTAATACCGATTCTTTTAATATAATTATTTTAAATTTTTTTTAATTTTATTTTTATTTTTATACATTATGTGAACAATAAGATGTTCAGGTATACATATTTATATACATATATAAAATATAATTAAAATTATTAGAAATTTAGAATACAGAATAAATTTTCAATTTATTTTATATACATATATAAACGGTTGTTGTGATTCAAAGTATAATAATTATTTAATTATATTAATTATTAGTATATTATATTTGTATATATATATATACAAATTATTTATATATACATGTAATTATATACATTATTATTTATAATTGTTTTTTTTTGCTTTATTAATTTTAATTTGAATATTATAGATAATCAATTTAATTGTGAATATTCAATAGAACTGTCATAATAAAGTTGGACTAATGAACTATTAGAATGAAGTATCATAATGAATTCAATGGAACAATCATAATGAATAAGATAGTGTGGTGGTATAATGTTGAATATAGCACTTAAATTGGATTAACTATAATTTATTCAATAGAATATAGGTGTGAGCTGAATTTAATTCTCGCACAAAAATTCTGTACTTCATCAAGAATAAGCTAAATTAATAAAATTTTTTAATACAGATTGAATTCAACTTTTATTTTTATTGTATTTCTATTTTTTTATGTTTTTCATAAAAATAAAAATTCGAACTAAAATTGAATTTGAATTGAACAAAAAAAATAAATTTTTTACACTAATCGGTTTGAATATGAAGCAGTGAATGCGGGTTGATGTACAAAGAAACAGCACAAATAAAGGGTTTTGAAAAGAAAATCCAAAAACTTGATTTTCTTATAAGCATTGAAGTTTATCACCATGAAAATAATGTCGGATTTTCAAAAATAACATATTTCAAGCTTTATTACTAAATTGCATTTAGGTTTGGTTTAGTTTAATAATTGCAATGAAAACAATTATAAATTTTTTTTTCAATCTCTCTTTTTAGAAAATTTATATTTTTATATTATTAAAGCAATAATATAATACTTTATAACAATAACTTGTTAATTTAATAAATATATTATTTTACTTTATGTGTACATTTGTACAAATTTGATAATATTGTGTAGGTACATAAATTATCTTGCTTATTCATACATTTTCCTATCAAAACCATTCCCCTAAAAAGCCCATTTCTTTAAAACCTACTTATATATATACACAAATATAATTGATAAATAAATTATAATTAATTTATTTACTGTTTTAAAAGAGTTTTAGCTAAATCCGGAATATTTTTTAAATTTTTTTCTGTTTCTTCAATTCTAAATCTAAATTTCCATTTTAAGTACAAACAGTGTTACCGTTTTTTTAATAATACTATCATAAATTCTATTTTTAAATATGTACTAAACTTTATCTGATTTATGATGCGTACTCATAAATACGTTATTATTTTGTGAAACAATATGAAAATGAGGTTATGACATTTATTTATTTATTTTTATATATCAAAATTTATTTACATACGAAAATAAATAAATTATATTTTTTTTGTTATTTCAAAATATTGCTGTGACAAAGATGAAGAGGAAGAAAATTTTTAATTAATTTTTATTTTAATAGCTATGTGTAAATTTTTTTCATCTTTTTACTTTTTCTTTTTTTGTTCATATTAATTTATATTGTTTATAGTTATTAGGAACTACATAAATATAAATACACGCGTATATTTATATATGTAAATATATAAATTGTAATTAATAGTTAAAAATATTTTAATGTTTCTTTTTTATTGCATTTTAAATTTTCTCAAAAGAGTATGTGAATAATATCGTTTATTTTGTTGTTTACATTTGTTTTGCGTTTTTAAAAGTCTTATGAATGGTTTGTTTTTCTTAAAAATTACAAATTTTTACAAAAAATTCAATACAAAAATTTGAAATGGTAAAAAATTTTTAAGAATCTTTTCTTCTTTTCATTTTATACCGTTTCAAAAAATTTTTTGATGTTTCTTTTATTTGAAAACTTTATTAATTATAGTTTTTCAATATTCAAAATCAAATAAATAAAAGAAAAATTTAATAATTTTATTATTAAATTTTTACATTATTTATTTATTTTTTATACAATTTACAAAAACAATATTGCGAGTTTTTAATATTATGAAAATATTAAAAATCACAATGGACAAAAGTACAATTTTGGATCTTTGCTAGACCCAAAATTTAAACAAATTTCTTTGATATCTAATCAAAGGCAAAAATGGTATATTTATAATTAATTAATTATTATAAGTTAGTATATAGTATACATTCACTATAGAGCTAGAAATATGTTAATTATTAATATTACTACTAATGTATGTATGTATATTTTTTTATATTACAAAAATTCCTAAAACAGAAAAAAATGAGAAAATCTTTTTTCAAGTTTTATAATTTTTGTTTTTTTTTTTTTTAAATTTTGTAAATATTTTTGTAGGTTAGAAAAATATTTGGTACCAAACATTTATTTATTAATAAATAAGTTTTATTTTTATTTTTTTTTTAAGTTTTTTTTTTTACTCTGTTTTTTTTTTTTTTGGTTTTGTTTATAATTTATTAAATATTAATAATTTTTTTCTTTTTAAAATTGTCTACGAAATATTTTATATTTGACGTAGATCTCAATAACTTTTCGTAAAATTAAATTTCTAAAATACTCAAAGTACTCCTTTTTTTCTACGTATCAGTAGAACTCCTACTACATCACACCATAAATCGTAACCATATTGTCAAAATGTTCATATTAATTTTACATGCAGTGATGGTGTATGAGCATAACTTAACAATTTATTTGCAAAATGTCAATAAAAACTAGTACAATTTTTGTATTCCATCTAGTATCGAAATTTACTTTGAAATAAAATAAACATTTTGACATTAGAATTTGGCAAGAAAAAATTTTTTTTATTATTTTCATGACGTTTCAAAATTTTAAAAATTTATTTGACCAAAGAGATATTGTAAATTATAACAACAACAATGAAAATTTTGAATAAAAAAATTCTAATAATGGATGAATATAAATAGCTGCATTTACTCAAAATATAAACTAAATGAGCAAAGAAGAGAAAACATTTTTCGAAGAAGAACAATATTAGCAAAAAATTGGGAGAAATTGTAACGCTTGTAAGAAAAATTCAAATTATTTCTAATATACAATCGAATTTTTGTTTCGTTTTTAAGTTATCAAGATGTCTAAAAATTTTCCTTTTAGACTTTTGAAACTTTTTTAATTAAATTTTAAATTCGAATTCTGTATATAAAATATGGTTTCCATATAATATAAATTTATTTAATATTTTAATCTAAATTTTAGGTACATATATACATATATACAGATTTTAAAAATATATAAACAACCCACAACCATTATAATAATGAAAATGCCATGAAAATACGTTCCAATAAATAAACATGAGAAAATACAGGAAATATGGATGATGATATTAAAATTATTATATAGATATTTCTAGATTTAATATTATTTAAACGACGTAAGAGTAGAAATATTAAATTACATGAAAATAATTCCCATCACCAATATACGTAATAATTTACTTATAAAAAGTTTTAGAATGAAAGTAAAAGGAACTTACTACTATCCACATTTAAGGGTTTCTGATCAATATTCATTGTTTCGGATTGCTGTTGTTGTTGTTGTTGTGTAGGAGGATATCTTTCTAAAAATTGCTCATAACGTATTCTAGGATCACCATTAATTTTTTGTCGTTTTCTTTTCAAAAATTCTGGGTCTACTATAAAATTTAAAAAAAAAATTATTTTTTTTATTTTTTTTTGTACAATTTTTTTTGTTTTTTTTTTTTTTTTAATTAAATTTACTTAAATTTCTTTGGTTTTTTTAAATAATTTTTTAAGAAAATTATTTTATTAAATTTAATTTACGAGAACAATGATTTGTTTTTTCGTTATTCTCTTCAAATAGTTTTTTTTTACAAATATAAAATTTAAGAAAAAGTTTTTTTTTTTGAAAAATTTAATTTTCTTGCTTCGTTTTTGTGTATTTTTGATTAATTTGTATTATTTTTTTTTTCAAATTTTAAATACTTTGTTGGCAATTTATCACTTAAATATTATTACAAAAATATTAAGTGTTTTTTAAATTTTATTTTTGTGCAGGAATAATTTTATTTTGTAAACAAATTAAATATTTAATTAGAATTTTTCTAGTATATATTTAAATGCCATTTTCACTACTAAAATATATGCACAACATTTTATTTTATTTATTAAAATTTAAATATTTAATTGTTATTCAAATTTCAATATAAAGTTTTGTGTTAACAATTTTCGAATTAAAAACAATAAAACTACATTTTAGTATGTTAGTAGTTTTCTAAGTATATAGGGTGTTTATAAAACAAGAAAATTAAATTTTCCAATGAAAAACAAAAATTAAAAGTTAAATTTATTTTTTCTTTTTCTACAAATTTCAATAATATTCTAAAATTTTTTTATATTATTAATAAAAAAGATTTGTTTTATTTGTTTTTTAAATATATCGGTAAAGACGATTTAAAATATTCAATATGGATTCCAATATAATTGTTTTCATACATTTTCTACGATGTATTTCAATTTAAATTTTAATATTTATATACAATAATATAATATTTATGATTTTATATAGATAAAGTTAGGTAATTAATTTGTGTTCAGACTTTTTTTATAGTATTTCATCTCAAAAGATTTGCTTTTTCATACTTTAATTCAATAAAAAAATAACAAGTAGTTCATTGTTATTATTCTTTTGTTCCTTGAAAAAATATTTTAATCAATCAATCCATCATCAGTTTGAGCACATTTTAAACAACAATATTATATATAATCATTTTACATTTTGTCAATTTTAAAATTTTATTTTAATAATAATTGACAATCGCGTAAAGTTTTTTTTTTTGTTTTTCGCAAATTTACAAAAATTTTCCATTTCCCCAAAAATTTTATTCCTCGGTTATAATTTTTGTAAATCTTTTAAAGCATAGAGAAAAAAAAGTACTCCTAAATTGTTTCCTTATTTTTTCCTTTCATACAAATTTTTTTAGTTTTCTTTTTCTAATAAATACAAAAAAATTGTTATTCCATTTAATATAATATTAAATTTCAAATATGTTTAAGAGATTTCCAACAATATATATAACATAAAACTTAATATAATTTTTGTTATTTTTATTTTCCATTACTACTATTTATTTGTGCTAATCGTTTAGCAACTTCAGCTGGTGTTAAGATTTCACCGGCATCAACTGGTGCATAATAGCATGATGTTTCATCAAATTCACTAGTGGTAGCTTGTGGTGCTATACTTGTATACAAGGCAAAATGTTCAGCTTCAGTTAAATCAACAGATGGATGTAATTCAATACCAAATTCACCTTCACAAAGATTTTTTAATGAATGGGCATCAGCAATAGCAACTAATTCCATATTACCATCTTGTATTGGTATATCAGCTAATTGTAATGCACTAACGGTTTTACGATCTAAATTATGATGATTACTTAATGTTAAAGTGCTTGCATTCGAATATGCTTCATTATTCATTGGTAAACTATTAAAGCTGTCACCTTTTAATGGTATATGAATTATATCTGGTGTTAAATGTGGTCTTTTACCAGATACACTGCTAACACTACGTCCAACTGGTTTACCTTGTTTATTTTTAATTTCTTCTTGTGGTGGTTTTGAAACATGTGGTGGTTGTAATGATTTTACTGATGCTCTATTTGGATCATTTATATTAAAATGATTTAGACTAGGATCACGTGATGGTTCTGGGCTTGCTTTGAGAGATTGAGGACTATTACTAGTCACGGGTGTAGATGAATTTATGCTATTAAGAGAATTTTTATCTGACTCTAAATCAGATTTAGATTTTCTTCTAGAGAAAAGTTTTGAAAAGAAACCCGGTTTCTTTTGTTTTGGTAGGGTATTAGAATTGGGTGGTGTTGGTGGTAATTTTTTGGTTGGTGGTGATTGATCTGGTGTTTTCATTATAATTATTTGAGATTGTGGACGTTGTAATGTAACTGGACTACTTTTTGGAGAATATTGTCTATTCTGTGATTCTTTTAATGGTTGTTTTTCGATATCTTGTTTCTTAATACGTTTTGGTGGTAATGGTGGAAGTTTTTCTTCTTCAACACGATTTTGACTCAAATATTGTTCGCTACGTTTTAACGATGGAGGTGTATTTGTATCAATTATTGGACATTGAGGATTAATTATCATATCTGATGTATTATCAAAATTTAATATGTCTTCAGGTGCAATCTGTGATGATGGTGGTGTTGGTGGAAATTCAATTGTTATTGGGTTTTTAAAAGCTTTTTGTAAACTTGTTTCAGTTGCAGCATCATCAAATTCCATATCAGCTTCACGTGTATTTTTTGACATACATGTTTCAACACCAGCTAATTCATTAGCAATTGTGTTTTGAAAAGTATCACGTCTTAAAACATGATCTGTATATATTTCATCAAGTTCAGCAACTTGATCCAATATATCGTTTAAAGTTTTATCTTCATCTGAAAACATTACATTTTGCCCATCTGTTGTTGCCATTGTAATACTAGCATTACTCAATAAGCTATCATTTCGTTCGAATTCGCTTGATTTAATCCATTCTTTTGTTTTGTCGTTCGACATTTCAATATCAGCAATCTGATCTTGATTAACATTTGTCGGTTCGATATTCATATTGGCGACAATATCTTTTACAATATTATCAACTTCAGATTCAGATTTACGTTGCGCGTCATCAAAAGATGATGATGGAGAAACAATTGGTTTTTCTTCATCGGTATTTGGTGTTACTAAATTAATTATTTCAGAAGTTTGTTCTTTACCGTCAGTTGGTGAGGTTTTTGTTATAGTCGTAGATTCTGAATCTTCAGAAAGGATACGCTTAAATATTTCCATATCGACTTTACCTTTAATTGTTTTATGCATAAACCAAAATTTACGCCTACCTGCATCTAATGGTAGAAAATCAAATGGTAACGCTTCACTGGTTGCTCCGTCTGATGGTCTTTTTAATTGAATTGAAACCTTAAATTATACAATAATCATTTTATTTAACATAATTACATTGTATTTCAATATTAAAGCTTACTGTAACAGGTCGTTCAACGTGAATATCCTTATAACGTGGCGTTCTAAATGATATGGCAGTTTGTTTATGAACATCAGTATGTTGAAAATCGCCATATGCCTCCCAAATTATTTGACCATTTTTTTCTTCAAAAAATCTCACTGATATGTCTTCTTTAGCAACCTAAGATATATATAAGTTTCATGTATATTAAGCTGAATAAAATAATCTAATGAAATAATTACTTTCTCACAGAGAAGTATAAGTTCTTTACCACCAGCTACTGTACTTGAACAACTGCATAATTTACATATTATTAAATCTGACATTGCTTTTTTATCATATATTGGATTTGAAACAACTGGTGTTAATGGTATATTAAATTTACCAGTTTTTTCTTCTAAAAATACTTGAAAGCATAAACGAACTGCATTTAAATCTATGCTAGATGGTTGGAAACGATGAGCAAAACCAGCTATATTAAATATTTTTAATAAGAAAATTGTCTAGTAAATGTTATTGTGAATGTGAACTTACTTCTGAATGGATCAACTTTGATTTTTTCACGTTCGATTAATGCAGATTCAATATCTTTCTTTTTAACACACTGAATACCTAAATTACTAAATTGGGCCCTCATTGTCTCACTATTTATTTCTATTGTACATACTCCTCTTTTACAGCCATCTTTACCAACTAAATTATGGGGATGAGGTCTAAAATATAAAAATTAATTTAGTAAAATTTAATAAAATAAGGGCATATTAAAAAATAATTAATGTAATATGCAATTGCATATTTATAGGGTAGAATGTGTATACATTTTTTTGTTTCAAGTTATTATCAGATCAATATAAATTATTGTATTTTATTCTATTAAACTTAGATTAAATTGAATTATTAATTACCTATAGGGTTTATCCTTTGTTACACATGATACAACAACAAATGCTCTTCCTTGATAACCAACAACTTCAATTGTTGGATATGTTTTATTTTCATGTGTACTATTAACACCTGGTATTGAACCAGCTGATCTACCTTCACATTCATAACGAAATCTTAATGCTTTACTTGCTGGTTGCTCAACAATTTTAACATATGCAGTATTTTTCCAATTACGATTATCACCAGATGGATGTTGATTTCGTCTTGGTGATGTTGATTGTGAATTATCGTTATTTTTGTTATTTACAACGGTTGTTTGTTGTGTTGATCTAATACCACCATTATATGTTGTATGATCCATTAATGTTGGTTCATCAGCACCATTACCTGCACCATTACCGCCACCTTGTGTCATACCACCTGAAGCCGATGGGAACATTTCAATAGCTGTCTGTGGATCTTGTATTTTAATAGCGTCAACTACACACCGAAATATAAGTAGGAAAAAAGAAGAAAAAAAATAAAAATAAAAAATTATTTTATGTTTGTACACTTTTTTTTTTATTTTATTATCATTTTTTTAAATATTAAATTAAAATATTAGAATAGTAAAGAAAATTAGAATACTAAGTAGAATATAAATTTCTCGTCTTTTTCTTTTTGATTATGCCTATAATGACAATTTTTCTAAAAGGAAGAGAGAGACAAATAGACATTTCAACTTTGATTTTTTTTGTTCTTATTGTTTTTCTTGTTGTTGTATATAAAAATTTGGAACAAATTGAATTAAAAAAATAAAATTTTAGCAAGATAGCAAAATATTAAAAATAGATTTTTCCATTCTGCTGGTGAAATTTTTCTTTTATTCTGTCATTTTTTTTCTTATTTTCAAATTCACTTCATGTGGTTTTCTTTAAAATTTTTGAATTTAAAATTTGTAAAAAATTTATACCGATTTTTTCAATAATTTAAAACTTTTATTTATTTTATTCACAACAATAAATTAAATTTATTCTTAATTTAAATATTCCAGTTGATTGAATCTAATAATTTTTATTTTTTATATTATGCATAAAAATTATTAATAATAAATTTAAATTTAATATATGAGAAATATTTTTAAGGAAATGATTTAAAAAATTTTCTTCTCTTACAAAATTATTTTTAGTAGCGACGAATTAAAGAACAGCAGCGCTACTTTTAAACTAAATTTGTTTAGCATAAAAAATATGCCAAAAACTTTGAGATTCTATGAAATTTTGTGAAAATTCTCGCAAAAGGATCTATTTATCTCACTATATTTGAGTTCAAGAGATTTTCTTTTTGGTATTTTTTTTTGTAATTGTTGTCTATTTATTTAGAATGTTTTTGTTTTTTGTTTGAAAATTAATTTTGTGTTTTTTTTTTTGCGAGAAATTGAATTTAATGAAATACAACTGAGGGAAAATAATGTAATGTTGATTTTATTAAATAATTTTCATTAATAGATTTTCAAAAGAAAAATTGTTTAACTATATTTCGTTTGTGATACGATTATTGCAGATTATAAGGCGATTATATTTATGTTGCTTATGTTGTTCAGAAAACTTTTCTAATTATAAAATTGAACTGAAATTGTATTTTAGATCGGGAAATAATAATCTCAGTTTTCTCTTCTCACAATAATTCCAAAATAAAAGATTTCTTTGACGTTTATTTTTGAAGGAAATAAGGGAAGTGTCAAAGAAGAGAAAAAAGGAAATAACAATACTGAGAAAATAGAAATGTAAAAAGGTCTATGTAGTCCTAGTATTTGATATATTAAAAAATTTAAATTAGACAGAATAAAAAAATGGCTTCACTAAACTTCGACATGGTTCATACTTTAATTAATAAAATTTAGTTTTCTATCATCGTTAAACAATAATTTAAAAATATTAATAATACATACGTATTTCCTATTTCAAGAATAATGAGTAGGTGTTAAATATTTTTTGCCTCAATCTAATTAAAATTTTGTTGAATTTGTGAATAATTGTATCTAAAATTAATTACTTGTATAAATGACATATTTAAAATTTCTATCATCAGCAGAAAATCTTAATTAATTTAATGACATCCTATATAAATCATGACGAACCGTTAATATTAGAGAGAATCTAGAATTTTGAAATTTTAGTAAGTACAAATGTGTGTATATTTAAGTTATTCCAAAAGTTGTAAGAAAGACACACTAAACATGTCTAAAATTATTGAAAATAGAAAAAATTAATGTGACAATTCAAAAATTTTCATTAACTTTTCTCGCAAATAATAATAAATGTTTTGCGCATAATTATTGAGAGTAAATGCGAGAACGAAAAAAAAACAAGAGAATAACAGAGTCCAAATTATATTACCTGTGGTGTTCCAAAAAAAAAAAAAAGAAATTTGATAGAGATTTTAATTTTAAAAAAATTTTTATTTTTTATTCTCCCATTTTTTTTTTTAATTTTATAGGTTATGTTTTATTTTTGGGCATCGACCTTAACTTATGGAAATTTGATTTATAAAATTGAAAAGAAAATGATTCAATATTATTTCTTCGCATTTCTTTTTTGAGGCTAAAAAAAAATTAATATTAAAAATTACAAAATAAAGAAAAAATTCATTTAATTTTGTTTTACTAAGAAAATAAATCTAATCAGAATTTTTTTCATTAACAGAAAAATGAGATGAAAGAAGCAAATCCAATATATAAAATTTTTTAGAAACGATCATTGGCAGGCAACTTCATTGGTTTGATGGTGTCGAAGGAAAATGTACAGCATGATTAAAAGTCAAAGTTGAACTACGATTATGTTTTATGGACACTTTGTTTTTTTTTGCATTCAGTCTTTGTATTTAATCTTTAAAATTTCAGAAATGATCTCCATTTAAAAAAATCTAAAATATTGCTAAATAAATTTATATTTGTTGCTGTTAATCATCTCATATAATCACCATAATATACCACTTGATGCGTAAGAAGAATAACTGCCCCATTTCAAATACTCTTGAAGAAGTGAAATAATTATTTTACTAGAAAATCTCTTTATACAATTCGTTGGCATTAAATTTTCTGGAGTAGATTATTGCATTAAGAAAATTGTTTAACTTATAATAATTTAAGAAATAAAATGGCTATCTAGCGTATCTATATAATAAATCAATTGGAAACATTATGAAAATTTATTATAGCGTATAATTCTGTTTTTGTTTTTTTTTTGTTAAAATGCCTGAAATTACAAAATTTATACACATTTGCATGTAAGTATGAACTATACAAAATATTCTTCAAAAGAAAATTTATTTTTTAATTTGTAGCTACATACATATGTATAAACATAAGGTAAAATATGTAAAGCTAAAACATGAGTGAAAATGAAAATCAAGGAAAAGTATGTATTCTTTCTTTTCTTTTAAAAATATTTTTAGTGTGATGACATGAACAAAGTCTGAAGACACAGAAAAAATTCTTATAAATGAAATGTTTTTACTTTTATATTATTATTAAGTTCTTTTGTTGGAAGAAATAAAAATTCTTGTAAAAATTGAAAAACAAGAAAATTAAAAAAAAAAAAATAAAATTAAAATGAAATGAAAAATTCATTTTAATGATTTTAAAAATAAAATATTTGCGTAATTCATATGACCATAATGAACATCTGTATAATATATATAAACATAAATATTAACATTTTATATGTATGTTTGTTTGTCATAATGTCTTTAAATATGTTCATCTTTTAGATTTCAACTTCATTGAATTTATATTACCTTTTCGAAATTTGATGTTCTTCAAAATTTATAAATTTATGTAGAATATATGAAAATTCAAAAAATATAAAATGATAGAGGAAAATAACAAAAATAATAAAAAATAATTTTGGAAAAAAAAAAATTATTTTTTCAAAACAGGGGTTTTAATTTTTAAATAAAACGAATAAAAGTAGTAGCAACACTTAAATGACTCAAGTTGTTTATAAATTTACGCCGAATTATATGCAATATTTTCATAAAATTGAAAATATGGCAAAAATGTTGGTTATTAACCTCATGTAATATATATGAAATATTAAATAAATAGTAGAGAAATATTAAATATAAAACTAATAAATTTCATAAATAATTTTAAGATATAAAATATTATTATAAAAAATCTTTTAATAACTCTCCAATTATTTGGGTATTTTATGTGCTAACTTTGATATTTTGTATGTATATATGAAATATATAGGAAAAAATATATACCTTGTGTCGTGCATTGACATTAAACGAAATAATGTTTATTATGAAAGAAAAAAAAAAACAAATCAATTGGCAGAAAAATCATGTAATTAAAATCGAAAAATATTTCTTTGGAATATTTTATTCGAATTTAACAAATATTTTATTGCAAATATCGTTTCTACTTTCTGCAACTGATTGTGGATATAAAATTAGATCTGACGTGTGCAAATTTCAAAAGTTCAGGGCAGTTAAATGTTTTTTCAAAATCAATTTTCACTAAAAATTTTACACAATTTTTATTTTATTCAAAAGAAAGTTCGTTTGCCGTAAAATAAAACGTAAATAAAAATGTCAGATTTTTCGATAAATAATAAAGAATTTTTTTTCCTCTGTGTATGAAAACTATACTCAAATTTTTTAAAGAATAAATCAGAAGAGGATGAGATTGCGAGTATTTTTAAATGCTTTGTGACAGAAAGTTTTAAATAAATTAAATTTAAAATTAAATTATGACAAAATAAATATTATTTTGAACACCCTGTCTGTATATATAGTTTTTGAGTTTTTAATAAAATACATTTAATATAAACGTACATTTATATTAATATTTTCATAGTGCAATTCTATATAAATATTATGTAGATGCATATGTACATTTGCATGTAATAAAATTTATTAGGTAATATATTTCGAATATTAAACAAATAGTTGAGAAATTATGAATATGTACATAAATTGTTTTAAATATTAAATATAAAATTATAACTTATAAATTTTAAAATTTAATGCTCTTTTTGCTGTATATACACACATATAGGAACCTGAATATGTGCGTATATTCTTATATTATAATTTTAAAAAAAATAAAATTGATGAACTGGTTATTATTACTTAATTTATATATGCATACATACAAACATATTTTGTAACATGTTCAAATTAAATTTGTATATAAATTGAATAATTAAAATATTTTTGTCGTAGGTTGAAAATAAATCGGTTTAATTTTAATGTTAAATTTTATTGAAATAATTTTTTTCCAACAATGTAGAAATAGATCATATTTTTTAAATAAATTAACTTAATTCGAATAAAATAAAAATACGTGATTACAAAACGTGTCATATGAAATTCTTAATACGTGTTGATAAAAACCAGAAATGCTTCTTAACTTTCGATTCTTACGATTCGATTTATTTGTGAAAATTTGCCAAAATATCGTTATTTAATTTTATATTTCGTTAAATAAT